TAAATTGCAAAGAGAAAAAAAAATTCGCAGAACCGGAACCATCAACATGTTAAATTTGTATGTGAGCATAATATTATAATGACGTATTTACTATTTATAGTATCTTATATATCTAGTCTATTGATCATAAATATATATTGTCTTTTAATATTCTGCTGTGCAGTATAATAAGACAATTCTAAAACACAAAAATAAAACTCTCCTAAGAATAACATAATAATAAATTGTTTATTAAAAATTCCATCATTGGAATCATATATTATAAGCTAGGCATCTAGGCCGTATGTTAAGAAATAGGTACTTTCGATCAACATGTCTCTAACTAATAAATTTGTTGATTTTGTTGTATATTGAATATTGATAAGTATACCTATAACTCAACTGAAAAGTAAAAGTACATTTATTTATGCAAATAAGTCTCTTAAAAAGCTTTAAAGGTTCATATTAATCATAATAGGCACGTAGTCATCAAGTTAATGATGTCTTCTGTATTCTTCTTTAAGTATTTTCCAAAATTAAACTGAAAAATGCTGCAAAATGAAATCACGGTTTAGAATTTTTAATCATTTTATTTGAACTGTTATGAAAACTAAGCTCCAATTAATTTACAATTTTATATTTTATAATGTATAAGATATACAAAAAATAATTTATAATATTCTAAAGTTTTTTAATTTAATAATATTGGTGACATTTTGTTTATAGATTCAGAGAATAATTTTGATAAATAGTACCTAAATACCGATTTATAAAAATTAAGCATAATATATTTTGTTATTATTATGTTTATACGTATATATAAGTATACACTATCAGTCTATATTACTATGTACTATAATTTGTCTTAATAACGTCATACCTAATGGGTAATACGAAAATATACCTATGGCATATTATTATGAGCAAAAAATAATAATATATATATTAAATTCATATAATTTTATAGTTTACCGAATTATTTTACTTCTAAATGTTAAAATATTAGGTTTTGTTGATTATGTTATTCGTATGATGTGTACAGTTAATAAAATGTTTGGTATACAATAACAAAACATTCTTATATTTTATTATTATTAAGTTATGATCTTTATTTAAATGCCCTACGTTAATTATTTAGTATAATAAAGTCCATAACTTACTTTTTCAATTTTAATATACTACTTGTACAGTAGGAACGTACGTTTCGTTTATGTATAAAGGGTGTAAACGTGCCCTTATAAACGCTATAAAACTGGGCCACTAGTCCGTGGCCTTGGTGTAACCCTTCGAGCATTGTTCGCCTCCGATCATTATCTAGCGTGTTAAATAATATTATATATACAGTGAGATAATGTTTTTTTTTTTTTGTTGTTGTTCGTCTCTGGTCGAACGTATGCAAAGAGGATGCAGGCGAAACAGTCGTCTGAACCTCTAAGGAATAATAAACAGGTGTGCTGATTGCCTGCCTACCGGTTTTACCATTTGAATAGAACGAGATTTTCATTTCGGGATCACGGCTAATTCTTAGGTAAAAAAAAAATAATAATAATAACATACGAAGAAAGAATACAGGTTAATTAAAAAAAAAACAAAAAAAACGGACTCGTTTTTATCTACCTGTTACTACCCCTACAAAAAATACAACGCCTAATAAAACTACATGTAATTTATAACTATACAATACTTTATGCTAAAATGAAGTTTTTAAACCTTCAAAAGGTTTATTAGAAAACATTCAGAACTCGATATAGGTAGGTATTATTATAGTGGTACACTGTTTATTTATTCATTAACGTTAACAATTTTTTGTTCACTTTAAATCTCTTAAAACGATAATAAATAGGTAAGTAATAGCCATTATGTAAATTGTACACACGTCATACATCGATGAAACAGGCCAAAGCAATCCAATAGTCCGATGTATACATTTTCAACTAGTAATCTTGAAATTTAATTTAATTATTTATGGAATTAAATTATCAAATCTTCATTATAAACTTTATGAAGTCAAAGATGAAATGTGAATTTTACTTTATAGAATAATTTTGACGGGTAACTGAACGCGTGAACGTGAAGTGTAAATTCACATGAGCAAGGAATATGGAACGCCTATAGAATAATATAATATAGTCCATGACGTTTTACCTCGGTGTCTATATAATAATTTGTATTGCACTATTTCTACTGGAATCGACGAAAGTGTAAAACACCGTGGTTTGATTCCAGGTCATCAAAACGAGTCCATATTGGTTTAAAAAAATTCAATTCAGCTGAATTTTTGAACCATTTATACAAATCTTGTGTAATGTTTAAAACAATTAATAATATTCTACGAACAGAAATCGAGAAACATCGAATAGTATTTTGTAAACCTATAAATATTTGCGTGACGCGTACAACGAAAAATAGTATATTACATTATTATAGAGAGGTGTGTATGAATCATATAACTAATAACACATTATTATTTTCAATTTCAAACCTTTATTAAAATGTTATAATCCCTTGATAATACACAATGTGTTTAATTAATATAATAAATTATAATATTATTATCCTTTACATCCTTTAAGCATACATTTTGTATTATATAACTATACGGAAATATTGTTTGTTTATTCCCAGGATTTTGGCGTACTATTTCGTTGATTTGACTAAATAAACAAAAATGAAATTTCAAAGCGAACAACATTTACTATCACAACTTGACTACTTGACTAGTGTAAAGTATGCACATGCACGATATTTTATATTATATAGATTAAAACTTAATATTAAATTTGACTTATTATAGTTAAATTTTGGATTTACTAACCGTAGTCACGCTAAGACTGAAAAAATATGTTTTAACCATATTTAATAATTAACTTAAATATCTATAAGGTAATTAAATCAATTAACGAATACCAATTAAGTTGAAATAAAATAGTTAAATGTATATTACTCATAGTAGAGACATTTTTTTAGAAAAATGTGTATGTAAGTAGTTTTCAAAATTCATATTAATATATTATTAATTTATACAAAACTAAACATTGTCAAATCTTACACTCATGTATGTTTATTGAAAAAGTTTTTCATCATATGATTTCAAAACTTTTTTGCAGACTCGAAAAGCGTGTACCATATAATATTAATCAGGGCTTGTTAACTACATGATATTATTATGTTTGTTGTTCCATAAAAGGTTTTCATTTTATTTTCACGCACAACCCTCCGACCCGGGTTTCAACAGGAGTAATGCTAAATCTCTTAGGTCCAACTTTCAAGTCAGGGATCCAACAGATCATTGTAAATACTTACCTAAACTTAAGTTATACACACCTTTTACTATTTAAAACCCTTTTATATCTTTAGTAGGTATTTTTACAATTTCATCGGATATTTGTATATTTTTAAATATGTTATAATACAGAGAAATATACTGATTTTATATCAATAATATTATAAAGTTTTTAAAATCAAATGTTAACGGATGACATTACACGCTTATGTCTCATAGTTCATACGGTCATACATAAATATCACGCCTATTATATTATCATATATAGATTCATAGGTACTGATGCAATGTCACTGAAAATGGCCGGGCGTTTACCTACAAAACCGTGATGCGATAGACTCACAGCTTATCATTGTTATTTCGTTTACGAAATTTCGGACATCACATCGATATTAGTATGTGTACCCGTCAACAATTAAATTTTTTTCCAACGTCATAACAATTATTTATATTTCAATAACGCCAAAGAATTTACCGTCCCGTATACATATAATAATATATATAGTATTATATGCAATATGTCCCATCCAAATATTTATATATAAACACTTTCAGCTACAAATCCCAAAACTACCATTTATAAAAAGCGTGTTTGGAAACTGGTATCGCATTGATATTATACAATGTATAAACACACTCGTGAATCATATTATAATATGATATAGATTTGTACAGCCATCGCAAGCTCCGACAACGGTATTTAATATAACATGAATATAATATATGTAGGCAGGTAGGAATATAAAATATTTTAGTGGGACTAGTGTTATATATAGACAGGTAGGTTATAATATATTAAAATGTACAATATACACTTATGTGTGCTGTGTGTGTGTCATATACAAATGCATGTATAAAATATATAGGCAGGTAAGTATATAATATATTATAGTGTGCATCATATAATATAAACATTATGCGTAGGTACATCGCGATACGAAGACGTCGTAAATGGTTAGGTTAGCGCTTACCTGCAGCAATGCACTATTCCGGTTCGGTGGATAGATGAACAAAAAACGTATAATTGGCTAGGTATAATATTATATACGTATACTTATTTATATATTAATACTATATATATATATATATATATATATAAATAGATGGAGTGGCGACGAGAACACGACTACGTGACCGAATGCGAAACGATATTATATTATCGCGGGGCGGAAAAACGAACGTCCACAAGCATAAATTATATTACATTTTATTCCAACAATGAAAATGATATTAAACGATATATTTATTACATTACGTCGTACAGCGCAGCGCGCGCGATACGATAACTGTATAATATCATACCTAATAATATTGTCGTATAATGTAATGACGAATAATAATTATTGCGGTCCGCGGGTGTGTAAAGTATCCGTTTGGATTTCCGTTTTCGTTTTTTTTTACGCTCGCGCGTTCTTCCTCTTTTCGTCCGATTCCCACTCACCGCCGTACACACACACGTACAATATAATATTATATGGCACCTTACATACTATGTATATTTATACTCGGATATTGTCGTTATATACGTACGACGATATTCACACTACATAGGCGTGCGAAATAGCGCTGAGCTGCCAGGGGGGGGACAGGGAGGGGGGATCGGAAAACCGAGTGCGCTGCTATAATATTATACTGTACACATATACAACAATAATATGACCGAGACCGATGTCACCTATATATAGCCAGGTCCACACACGGACGCGCGTTATTAGTATATTATACGCGCGTTTTCACTATTTTGTCGGGAGCACGCGACTCCGACACGACCGATTTTTACATAATATAATATACATACATACAGGCGGTTACACACACGCTGCTCCTCTCAGTAAATAATATTATTATATATTGTACGCTTTTTTGTTTTCGGGATAAAAAAAAAGAAACAAAAAAACCCCTTCGCCGATCATCATCAACGCCCAGCAAGTGCTCCGCCGCAGCAACCCCGCCGCCTACTTCACCTGTCCGCGGCCGCAACACGTTCCCGTCATCGTCGCCGTCGTCCTCGCCGTCCTCGTCGTCTCGTGAGATCGCCATCGCCGCAGGCAAAACCCACACTCCAGCCGCCGAAGAACACAATATAATAATAATATTTTAATGATAAATATTATTATCGCATCTACACACGCGCATAATATTAATATTATATTCTACAGCGTTTAGTCTCTTCTCCTTTTTCTCCTTCGTCTCCGTATCCTCCATCTCCTCACTTTTTACAGTGACTCCGTCTGTCGCTCTCTCTCTCTCTCTCTCTCTCTCTCTCTCTCTCACACACACACACACTCGCTCGTCCGTGCTCACAATTGTATTCCTATTATACATTCAACACTGGGCAGCGTGTTTGGGGGTGTGGAGGGGGCGGACGGCCGTGGCCTCTTAATCTGGAGTTGTGTGCGCGCGCCGCGCACGTGTGTGTACTCACCGCCTTCGTCCGGGCGTAGTCACTGGGGGCGCGCTCTCACACAGTACACAGCCGGCGGACCGCGGGCGGCTAACGCAGAGTGGCTATGGACACCGCGAACGGGGTAGTGGCCGGTGCTGATGCCTTTACCGTCGCGCTGTCGCTACTGCTGTTCGTCGTGCTCCTCATTCTGGGGGCCACATCAGCGTGTGGCCGCGGTTTCTGGACCGCTCGCCGTCAACCAGGCACAGCCGCAGTCGCTGCCGCCCGCACCGCCGTGCTAGACGGCCCGACAGCGTACCCGGTCATCGGGGCGCTGCACGCCATGGACGGACACCAGGACAGACCGTTCCGCCGGTTCACCGAGCTGTCCCACAAGTACGGGCCCGTCTACGCCATGGCCATGGGATCGACGCCTTGCGTGATCGTCAACGATTACCCGTCCATCAAGGAAGTCCTAATCACCAACGGTTCTAAGTTTGGCGGCCGGCCTGACTTTATCCGCTACAACGTGCTGTTCGCCGGAGACCGAAATAACTGTGAGTATACCGATGAAAAGTGACGTTTTATAAATATTTAGGGATAAGAATGACATTTATATGAATCCTTCTAATAAACATTCATAATAAGCGTTTAAGTGTTATTGCGATATAAAATCACAAAGATTTTCAATTTCCTATGTTTTTGGGTTACGTGTGGTTTTTCAAAATCTAATCTAATGATCACCACCAAAAATAATAATTAAAAATATAAATGTCATGTTTGCGCGGCAAATAGAGTTCGTCAGCACGGGCTGTAATGGTGACCCCTGATGTATACATTTATATACGTTGTATATTATATTATTATTATTAATATTATAGCTGATTTATTTTTTTTCATTCTATTTCGGCAAATATTCGCACCGCGCTCAAAAATATTATTATATAATATAATAGATTGATGAGCATAATATTCTCGAAAACAAATTTATGGGCGAGAATTTCCCGGAACGAAATTGTTATATAAAGTACAAATAATTTATTTTATTTATGTTTAAAATGACAAGGAACTGGTAGTGTTTAAAAAATATGTACTTAAAAAAATAATAGAATAAGTAGTTAAAACAGCCTCCTCTTAATCTATGCTCAAAGCATAATATTCAGCTGGAAATATATAATATATAATACATATATAATCACTTACCATTTTCTTAAACTTGTTAATGTAAGTATTTTAAATGTAATAAATCTGAACCTGAATTATAGCTTTAAGTGTAAAACGCTCAAATGATGTGAACGCTAATTTTCTGTACATTTATTTTGGTTTACGCTCTATAGCAATTTACAATAAGTACGAATAGGTAACTACTATTAAAAATGAAAATATCATCTATAGATACATCATAATGTAACAATTATTTTAGGAGTAAATAATATAGTATAATAATATGTACATCGTATAACAATATATATTTTTTTGAATGTGTGTATATATACAATTACATATAAAATATTTGTCAATGAGTTTTTGTCTTTTGTGCAATGATAAAACTGAATAATCTTTATGAGTAATAATGATAGATATTATTATAGGTACTCGTTTGACTTGACAAATGGTTTGAATTTGAATTCTAAGCTAAACTATGAATGCATAATGGTTTTTGAATGTGTCATGTATATGTATATGTCCATATTTAGTGTATTGTCAATTTATTTTTCTCGTATAAGGAATGCAACAAACATTTCAAGCTTTCTGTAATAGCCCTATAGTATATATAGATTATAAATCGTATTTAATCGATACTAAGATAATGATTGCATTTTGACCAGCGATTTTTATAAAATTTCTGAAATCTTCAAACGTTAATAATTCTTAAGAGTAAGTAACATACCTTCAATTTAAAAAACCATTATATAAGTATTATATATATATAATTCTATACAGTTGGAAATCTATTTTCAAAACCACGAGCCCTGTGGTCAGATTAATCTTTTCAAAATTTCAAATTCTACGAATTATAATTTTCGCAATTAAGTGTAAGAAAATAACACGCTATATCACTTTATTATTACCATACATCAATATTTTGTTCCACGCGATGACCGAATAATGAGTACCCAATTATTCAAAACCTGGATTCTGTATTCTATTATGATTTTATCCCATGCGCCTACCGCAATAGAAAGTCTAGAGTGTTCCATCGCTATTATTAAATCATATTCGAATTCGAAACGATTCAATGACGTAGATATTCATATTTCTTTCGTTTTACTTTGTTTATTTTTAAAACTGTTTATGTAAGTGGTATGAGTATCTCACTCGTCACTGCTTAAAGTAAACATTGTGAATTATGAAATATTTGTTTTTTTACAAGTATATATAATACTTACAAGAATCCCAACACATCAATATATAATATTATATAATTAATATACTCATTAGTTTTCTGAAACATTTTACGGTTATTATTCGTATGTAGATAATTGTGAATCAACGAAATTCATTATAGTAGACGCTTTTTAAATGGGTACTATATTGACGTAAATATGCATAATATGCACTTTATTACTTTCATTATAATATTACATACGTACTACTGCGGATTTAATTGTTAATCAAATTACCGACTGTACGTCAAAATAAGGATTTACTATCCTATTATTTTCTTCACATGAAATTTAATACTAATTTGGAAGTTCAATTGGGTTCAAATAGTTTTAGACAGAGGTTAATATACTGTATTAAACATCATATTATAAAGTTATTGAACTTTGCCCTGTGGTATATTTTGGTTAACGAAAATATAAATACGAAATATTACTATTGCACATGTTATATAGGTACTTCAGACACTTGTTCTTCCTCTGTGTCACTGTGTCGTTTATATTTTTTTCCCCACCAAATATAATCTTAGACAATTCGTGGTTAGGTTAAGAAAGCTGATCTCATTTTCAAAATATATGCCTTCCAATATTATTTATCATGGTAAATAATTACTAGTTGCAATAGGTTTATGACATTTACGTATTGTATGACTACGGTATCATAGTTGCAACTCATTTCCTGCAAGTACATTGATACACCGTTTCATTCACTCAAGAGGTAAGTTTTTCAATTGTTGAAGATGGCCACATTTTTTTTACCAGGAAATATTTGGGGGAGGGGGCACAGAAAAAAAAGACAGCCAATTTACAAAACACTCACCTATTTTCGTTTCCACATCACTTTACTATGTATAGCATGTTAATTAAAACGTTAATTCAAATAAGAAGACAAAATAACATTAAAATATATTAAAATTTTATTTTAAAACTACTTCGTGTAAAACATTTATTTAATATCATCACAAGATTAATGTTTCATTATAATGCTATTTTTCGCGATGACGGAAATTAGTTATTATAGGTTTTCGAGTTTTAAACTTAGCTCTTTATAATAAATAAGTAAATTGGGTACGAATATTATGAAATTGAAAGTAATTATTATACATCTTATATATTAATATCACGAATTAGATACTAAATAAAGTAATGACTAATGAGCTTTATCATTTAAATAGTCTATACTCTATATTACCTATATAAACCTACTCGTAAATAGATAAATACGCGTTCATTTTTAAAACTTGTAATCTATATAATGTTCCTATAGACACGTTTCGATCAAAGGGATCTTATTGACAAATACTGGTTTGGAGGCCCAGCTGGTAAAACCAAAATTTTCCCACTGACTTTATTAAGTACAAATAAATGTATTCAGTATTATTACACTAAGGGGTTTTAGTATAGGCAAAAATTATACAAGAAAGTCGTAAGATATTACGACGTCAATATAACATGGGTTATGTTTATAAAAAGTAAAAAAAACTTAAATTATTTTTATGTTTACAATTATAGTTGAATATAAATCATTATTTTTTTCTCACCTATATTTTATACAAGATTTTTTAACCTAAACATTCTCATAAAATAAAACAATAGGTTTGTCAGTTCTTATTGTTACAGTTGCTTAACTAAACAGGGAAATCAAAATTATGTTTCAAGGATTTTTATCAGACATCACTAATGTTTTGGCGATGCCACAGGAGTTATTGTTTATTGTTATATATAATTTAATGACTTAATAAATTGTTGGCTCAGCTCCCATAGCCCCCCTCCCGTTTTTGGTCCATACTCCATGGTTTTATTGGAGTTTATCATCAATATAATCAAGTGTACTATAATAAATATAAGTGTAATTCAAATAAAATTTCTTATATTTTAATCGAAAAAATAAAGGAATAATTAGTTCATTTTTATCTAACTGGGCAAAATAATAGCTCAATATTTATGTTTGATATGTGACCATCAAAGGGTCCATTTAAATTGATTATTTTCTAACGGTTTCCTAAAGAAACCACAATTTATTTGACTGTCAAATTAATATTTCCAAACCCTAATGGACCATACTGCCAGTGTCATTGTGCAGGGTTGGTTATTCGTTTAAATCGGACATTATATAGAACGCAATCATCATATAAATAGGTAGTAGTAATGGTACAAATTTAAATATAAAAAATAAGACTCGCTATAGTAGGTAATCACTGAATCACTGCACTAATAATATTAATAATATTATATTATAAACAGTAACTATCAAGTACTACACCATATAGCTGCATTCTACAATTTTAATTACAGATATAGACATTATGTATGTATGAAATATGTTACTGCAGTTATTTTCTAAAGTACCTATTAATTATAGGTACACTTTAATGTATTATCTACTTACAACGTAAACTAAAAATATTTTTATTAAAGCAGTTTTTAAGACAGTATCAAAATTTATTAACATACAAATTTATAACAATACACAAATCATATTTATAATAATCGTATTGTTACAATATTTATAACATCTGTACCTAGGTATTTTTTATCTACCTTTAAAAACAATATCGATCCATAAATAGAATAAGTAAAATAAATAAATTCATATATTATGAAGATATTTTTTTTCATCAGACTATTCATAACAAAACTATAATGTTTACCTATATCATAAGCTGTATAGGCATTTAAAAATAATATTAGGTAAGTAAAACAATTATTTTGTATTTTATTTTGTAATAATTTTGATTTTTTTTTGATTTTTCTAAAAATATAATATACATTTCAGTATGACGATTGATGCTTGGATAAAAATATTCTTAAACAATAAACGTGATCTTTTAGAAAGTAATAGTGTAATGGTCCAACTAGATAAATTATGAATAATTCAAATAATCAGTCAAATATAATATCATATGTTCAATGACTGTTGACTGCGGGTATAGATTTTATTCATAATCCTCTGATAATTCAGTACGTCATGGCATCAGATCGACTGTAATATTATTCAAAATACTAATATAATACATTTTAAATATGTATAAAAAGTAATTCAATAATTAGATATGGGGTTAAAAGTTGGGTTTGTGTCAACATTAAGGTTAAGTTAACCCTAGGTAATAGCCAATAGGTACATCGTTTACGCCATCGGACTAACAATGATGTGTTTTTTCTTTTCTTCAGCACTGGCGCTATGTGATTGGTCGTGGCTTCAAGAAACCAGGAGGAAGATTGCTCGAATGTACTGTTCCCCGAAAGTGTGTTCATCCAACTACGGGCTGCTGGACTCTATTGCTTCCGATGAGCTGGACGTATTTTTGGGATCATTAGCCGAAGTGACCATCCAGGGTTCCGAGCGTGAGGTACAGGTGAAGCAGCCGTTGCTGATGGCCTGCGCCAACATGTTCATCAGGTTCATGTGTACGACGCAATTCGAGTACGGCGACCCTGATTTCCAGAATATGGTCCGCACGTTTGACGAGATATTCTGGGATATCAACCAAGGTTACGCAGTTGACTTCTTGCCATGGCTGAGGCCATTCTACGAGGGCCACATGCGAAAGCTGTCCAAGTGGTCAACGGACATCAGGAGATTCATGATGGATGAGGTTGTGTCGAAGAGGAACAGTTACGCGAAGGCTGTAGCCGCAGCATTAGAAGGCGTTGGTGACCGAAATCATGACGACAATGACGACGCTGCAGACAACGACGAGCAAGAACCAACTGACTTCACTGACGCCTTGCTCATGAGCCTGCGCAAGGAGCCCAGGCTCAAAATGGACCACGTGCTGTTCGAGTTGGAAGATTTTATCGGCGGTCATTCTGCAGTTGGAAACATGGTCATGCTCGCACTGTCTATGGTGGCTACTAGACCTCACGTGGCCCAAGCGATCCGGGATGAGGCCGAACAAGTCACCGGCGGCCAACGATTGGTCCGCCTTTACGACAAGCCGGACATGCCGTACACCGAGGCCACTCTGTTCGAGACCCTGCGTGTCATTTCGTCACCCATCGTCCCTCACGTGGCAACAGAGGATACTACCATCCAAGGTGAGGAAAACGATAGTTAAAGTACTCACAGGACCTGTTGAAATCGTATACCAAGTCCAAAACCCACGTACCTACTTGTGATTTCGACTCCATAAAAAGATTGATAGATCAAAACGTGTCACATTGTCGGATCATTAAATATAAAAAAACACTTTTAGTGTGGGTTAAAAAAGCACAATATTAATTTTAATCTACAAACCAAATATATTATAATAACGCTAAAAATATTTATCAAGTTTACCAAAAAGTTTGAAAAAAACACAACATTTTATTTTAAATTGTGATATTCTTACCACCTAAAATGACTTATGTTTGCAAAGAAGATGAAATTGTTATTCTTATAACAAGTAAAAAAATATTTAATTCATATTTAGTTACATAATATAAATACATATTATACCTAAATAGTAAATAATACATTTTACATTAAAAAAAATACCTAAATACCTACCTACATTTTTAACTTTTGAAGTTACTAACTTAAGTTATTTGGATGCAGCATTAAAAAAACGAGAACCCATACTCGCAGTATAGGATATGACAAAAGTGGACGGTGTTGATTTAGAGATTATTATGTATAGTGCAATAATTTTAATTAAACAATAGTCAAGATAAAATAATAAATAAATAATGTAATATTCTTTCGATATCTACAGTCGGTTCAGCAATTTAATAACAATACATTTTTCGAACATAATATCATAAATGAGGTGAATAAACTAATGATCCGAAATCAGATAAAAAAAAAACATCATGTCATTTTTGGTGACTTGGAAAAATCTTAGAATAAATCCTGATATATAGGGGCCACAGGGTCGCGACTATAATAATATTATATTACAAAAGTATACCTACCTATTATTCAATATGTGATTTTTTAATATGACATGAGCATCTATATTTATATTTTTTTTGCGTTCGTGTACATTTAGGATTCAAAATATCGAAAGGAACTTGCATTATAATCAACAACTTCGAAATCAACAACAGCCCTGCGTACTGGGACGACCCGGAAGTGTTCGACCCCAATCGTTTCATACACTGCAAGTCCGGCGCAAAGCCGTGCATCCGGAAACCAGAATACTTCCTGCCCTTTGGCACCGGCAAAAGGACGTGCATTGGACAACAATTGGTTTCCGGGTTCGGGTTCGTACTGCTCGCCGGCATACTGCAGAGGTACGAGGTAAAGGCCACTGCTCAATTGGCGATACCCGAGGCGCGTCTGGCTCTACCACCCGACACCTATCCTCTGATATTGAAACCTCTCGATGGATGTCGAATATAAATACAAAATATATAGAACAATCTCGTTGACATGAGACTAAAATGGCAATCATTATCGTTGTACATTAAATTAGATAATTATTGTAAATACTCAAACACATATAAAATATAATAAGTATCGAATCACAAGACTGTTTGATTTACAATCTATTCGTATACGATACGTATACATATATGTAAGAACATGACAATAATTTTAACAACATGTTCATTTCGATAATCGATTCAATCGCGTATATTAATAGGTATATAAATATATTTTTAAAATAGACTGAAACACACTGTTTGAAATACATTTTGTATAGGTCCAAAAATGTAATTGTACCTGTAATATTTAAAATAAAATGATAAGTATTCATTCGAATTTGATATCAATTTCAATTTGAATATCATACATTTTTTTGAATGAGTATAAATATATATTTTTTTTACAAAATTGTATTATTTTTTATACATAATATATTTGTTGAATTTGAATTTATATTTATATCACATGTATTTTTTTAATTGTTAGTTAATAAGAAATTAGTTGTTCTACACTTAAGATTTTATCTCCTATGACGTTAAGTCATACTATTCAAATAAAGTATCAACGATAACAGTTAGTATATTCCCAATTGTATCCATGCATTACTATCGTCCATGTATTATAAAATTAAAAAAAATATAAAACAAACTGTATACTTCAATAAAATAAATACAGACCACGATAGATAAAGTGTTTTATTCTTAAAGTATAAAGTAACATTACGTTTTAATAATTATAGTTACATAGACGATAGACCAGTACAAGTTATTTTTTTTCGGAAGTGTTTGTGTAAATAAAAATTTTCCCACGATTACATATACATACTGTTGATAATTTATATTAGGGACCAGGAAGAAGGGCATTCTGAGGAAAAACATTTTCATGTGAAGGTCCCTTATATCTAAAGGGAGGAGTATGTTCGCTCAACTAAATAGTACAATATTAAACTTGTCCACTACTTAATTAATGATTATAAACAAGGCTTCACCACTCTAACCTTTCCAAGCTCTTTACGTTTCTTGTAATACAGTATCCCCGAGACTTGAGAGAGATAAATATTACCTATATAAATTGTATTATTATAAAACAAACAACGCGAGGGCTGGCGAAAGCAATAAGAAAGCAATTACCACCCAGTCTCACAGTTGAAACACAAAAAAGTTTCTTATATTTCAAAACTGATTATGACATATCAGTCATCGCCTTTTGAGGCAGTACAATTGGCTTCAATTTTCAACTTTAAGGGTAATATATCTGCACTGAAAAAAAGATGTTCATTCTACAAACAAAACGCCATTTATTGACCATTTTTATTGGCACAAAGATTTTTTTTATTATTTCAACAAAGTATTGTTCATTGGATACAACATGGAGTAGTATATACTTTATATCGGCCGATTTGCCGACACCCGATTTTCCGACATACTATATTATGATGAATTATACTAACTAATTAAACTTTATTATTTTATAGTAATTTTTTACAAGTCAACTATTAATACTATAAAGTATAAATTAACATTATAAGCTTCTGTTTTCTAAATGAAAATGAAACATTATATTATATTATATTATTACCTATATTTCAATTGTAATATATTATCGTTATTTAACGCGATTTCGTAAAAAATTAAATTTCATACGTTCATAAACTTTTTTCTGTATTGACGCTGGAATTTTTTTTTACAGTTATTTGAAGGAAAACTTATGGATAACCTTGTATTAGATTTTTAAACCTTAAGTATAAATCCCAAAAATTGTATGAATTTTCAACTTAAAAATTCCTTGCAAATTTTCGCGATTTTGATATATTTCATAAATATTTGAACTTTAAATGCTTATAAACAAAAATTGTGACTAAAGATTTTTTATTTTTTTTTTTACTACTATAAGTTCAACTTTTTTTTGGATAGCCAAATTTTTTTATCGGTATTTTAAGAAAAAAAAATTTAAAAAATCAAAAATTTCAATTGCCTATAATTAGCTTAAAAAAATTCTAATTATTTTGAAAATTTAATCATAAATAGATAACGCTAATATAAACATTTGGTGAAAATTTCAAGTATTTTCAATGATTCGTTTTTGAGTTACAGCAAAATCAAAAAATCGCTCAGAAGTTATTATAAACCACGACATTTTAAATTTAATATTATTATACTCGTATAACAAACTGACGATGCAATGATTACTAACTGTCAACTGACAAATGCCAATAATATCATAGTATAGTTTTATCAACATTTTGATTGTAGATTGTAATATTCTAAATTTCCACATAAAAATTAATTTTGTATTTTATGAAACTACGTTTTGTCGGCAAATTGGAACTTTTTCATTTTTCCCGGAAACCGGTTTTTGCGTCGGCGAAACGAGTAGTCGGCGAATAGGGCCTGAATCACACGGGCACCCACCCGTGTAGGTATATCGTACACTCTACACAGACACCCATCCGTGCATATATTCGATACCCGGTCAGTTAATGCGCATACAATGATGTCCATGCAGTGATGTCCGAGTGGCCGCTTGCTCGCTGAGCTGCGCTCGGACCAAAAAAACCGAAAATATCCCTAGACTTGCTATGCAACACCACCACCACAAGTTTAGTTACAGGGTAACCGCCGTATCACCACTCTTATCATATTCTCTTACCACTCACCAACAAGGCCGTAGCCAGGGGGGAGGGTTCAACCCCCCCCCCCGACATTTTTTTTTGAAATAAGATTTAATTAATTTTTTTAAATAAAGATTAATTTAATTTAAATAATATTTTTATATTTTATAATTTTATTATATAATATAACATATTTATACACTAAATCTCCCCCTAAATATTTTTCTGACTACGGCCTTGCTCACGAGCACCCTGTTCACAGAAAAACTGTGTTGTTCTGTGACCCGGGTACCGAAGCATTCTAAGCCACGGACTAGGATATACAGGACTGGAGTCGGCAAGGCCAGGGGGTAGTAGTAGTCCTCAAATGTTTCTAAAGGTACAGATGTTGTTACTAGCGCATTCTGATTGAGTTTATTGGCAACGATTATTTTTAAATATTTATAAATTATAATCTATTATACTGTTGGTTATTTATATTTATCTATGTATATAATATTTTTTTGAATAAAGGTTGATTTACTAAACGAATAATTTAGTAAGTTGTTATACCCGGTAATAATACCAATCAGTAAAAATGTGAATTTAAAGTATTAAAAGTCATGGTAATAGTCAGATTTTATTGTCTTAAGTCATACAAAATCTTAAATTTTTAATACATTGCATTGAATATCATGCATACACAATGAACATTATTTTTTTATTTTTTTTTTTTTGTCATATTTATTTTTATTTGTACAATCTGTATAAAAAAAATATTTACAATAAGTACAATGGAGATAATGATAGTATATATTGGTAATTGGACATGGTTGACTTGTTGAAGAGACTATTCATTGATAGCACTTCATGGCAGGATGGTGGACTAGTCAACTAGTCGATTAGTAGGTCACGGCACCAGCTACGCTTTAAACGTCGGCCAGGGTCGCCCGGGATTGTTCGGCAAGATAGGTTTTGGATGAGAGGGTTTCGGTGATTTGGAAGTTTAAGGTGGAAACGTTTATAGAGGGTTTTGGCGACGTTTTTTACTGTCGGAATGAGGAGGTCCCTGTGGAGGGTATCATTTGTAACATAAAAAGGGGCTTTGGTTATCTGCCTGAGGCATTTGGATTGAAATGTTTGGATTCGGTTTATGTTGGAGTCTTTGGCTGAACCCCAGAGTTGGATTCCGTAGGTCCAGATAGGTTTGAGGAGTACTTTGTACATGAGGATTTTATTGTGTAGTGAGAGATGTTTGGATGATAGGAGGAGGCGAAGTTGTCTTTGACGATTATTTAGTACAAGTCGTTTGTTACGTATGTGGGTAGCCCACGTGAGTCGACGATCTAGGCATAAGCCTAGGTAACGGACATTTTGAGCGGTCGGGAGTGGTTGGTTGTTGAGTGTGATAGAGGGACAGCTTATTGGTCTGAGAGTGAATGTGCAGTGAATGGATTTGGATTCATTGAGTTTGAACCCCCATTCTTAAATACATTATTAGTCCTAATAGTATCATCTCTAACCACGTAAAGTCACTCAAGTGAAATCACAACATTTTTCAAACCTTAAATTGGTTTAGACATTTATTACTTAAATAATTTGTACTAAGAATCAAATAAATATACTTTTAGTTATTAAAATAATTAATGTTAATTTATTTGTAATTATTTAAAAGAAACCATCAAATTAAATAATTTTAGAACCAGTGTGCTATGAATATTATGAAAATTGAGTATTGTCTAATTCCTAACACAGATAGCGCTAGGTACTTACTGCACACATACCTCTAGAATAATTTGGGAATCATTGATAATGTTTTTGATACCAGTCCTGTATATCTTAGTCACGGCTTTAGATAGAATGGTTGCACAACGAGTCATTATTTTGCATAGATAATAAAGATATGGATAGGACATATTGGTCTTATCAGCGGTCTTCGAGGGGAACAATTGAGGCCAAATAAAGTATACCTATATTGAGTATCGACTATCAATATAAAGGAGCCTCAATTGCCTTCCCCTCCGGGAACGCGGCCTCAAATGTATTTAACATAGGCGTGGCCTATCCATATCTTTATTATCTATGTTATTTTGTGATCACCAATTGTTCTTATCAGATATCTGTTAAAAGTTACGTTACACCGCTATCTAGTTGCTTACATATACATCATCAAAATTGTATTCTTATTTTATATTGTTGTATATGTATTCAAAAATTACTAATTAGTAATTTACAAATTGTATGGGTAATCCGATAATCCATTAAAGTTTCAAACTTATCAAATTATGAAATGAAAAATACAAAGAATAGGCTATTACGGATTTAGATATTTCTATCTAAAGCCGTGGTTCCAATTAACAACCACCAGGAGCGTTAGTAGTAGTTCACTTTTTCGTATGTTAGATAAGAACTCTCGTACACCGCGTTCTAAGTTTCTAACATTGCGTAGTATAGCCCGATGTGCAACCATTCTATCTAAAGCCGTGATCTCAGTCCGTGATCTAAGCACAAAGTACGAGTATTTATTACTTCAATAAGTTAAAAAGTTATACTATAGTGCGTTTCACGAAATTAGAGACTCAACTATAACGCGACAGGTAATCTATTATTAGTAGGGCTACTCAAAATGTGGAATAAAAAGCGCACGTAAATTGAACTGCCGCATACAGGCGCTGTAGTATAGCTCTGCGCTCAGTAATTTCAAATCAACTGCGCTTTTGCAAAGTTTGAACGACATTGAAATCCAAATTTTTGATGCAATTTAACGAATTGGACTATCCTATTAAAAAATAGTATGTAGGTATACGTATTTCGTTAAAGTATATTTTTTAATTGAATGTAAGTATATGTTTATTGATTATTGAATTTGAAATATATTATTTATAAAATTATTGTTATGTAACAGAACGATTATCATTAATATAACTATTTTGGTAATGATTAATCTATCTATCTATCCATCTATCTATATAACACTATATAAAAAGGTTATAACACTTATAACTATAAAGCACTATATAATGAATGACGATTTTTTTCGCACTCATAATCTTTAAAACTACTTGTCCGATTCGCTTGAAATTCGACGAAGATATTTAGCCAGATCACGGGAAGGTTAGTATCCATAAAAAATCACAAAATATAACCCGCCGGCAGCAGAAGTTAAGATATAAGGTTGTTACAAGTGGAGCGCTCTATCGGGATAATATTCATTATACATGATAATGTATTTAATATATATAAATAAATATAAAACTCATTGTTTTATAAAAAAAAGAAAAAACTTATAGTGGCACGCTCTAGAGGATTTATAATAACATAGAACAATAATGAACTATATAAATCTATAAAAATAAGATGAATATTAATAATGGCTAATCGACTGACGGACCAGCCGCAAACCGGGTAACCTCAGTTAGTGAATAATATAAAAAGATTATTATATCTTCGGCTAACAGGCAAACGGCCGTATCCGCCATAGAATAGCAATATACAAATAAGGAGCAAAAAAAAACATCGAATGAGCTCATTCTAGTGGTTCTAGGCTTCTAGCTACAACCATCCCTAAGTTATTTAATATTTCTTTTAGCCATATCAACATTTTCTTGAGGCCTTATCCACCTTTTTGACAATTTAATTAACAGGTGTAAAATAAATCGGACGTGTGCAGTGTGCACCATTGTATGAACGTTTCAGCCATTTCTGAGTAATACGCATGGTCGTATCAGCCAAATTCGCAGATACGTCTATCTGAACTTCAACTTGAATTAACGAAATCCCAATTGTGACAAAAAATAACAGATGGTTTATTAATAAGTGCTAGCCTTCAAATACTATTGTT